GTAACCTTAGACTGCACAGAAACGGGCATAGTTGCTCACTCTGCATTGACATTGTGAGGAGACCTATCCAATATGGCGGCGACGCTGTTACGGTCTCCTGCGGTCAATGGGGCGTCTACTGTGTGTGACACACCAAAGATCATCTTCATGCAGGCTAACTAATCAATTAAAGAGTTAATGACGCAATACATTTTTCAGATCAATTTTAGCCGGATTTCCTTTCCATAGTTGAGCAAACTCCCAGTTTATGGTTATTTGACGTTTGTTCTTGTGTTTAAATGCATGACTGAAAAAAAGTGAACGGATAAAGTTTATGCTAAAACGTCATATTTTGGTGATGTTTGTGTTCGTCTAGTTTTGTCTGTTTAAAGATGGGGCCGTGGCAACCCGTGGTTCGTGTTCTATGGGTTCAAAGTATGTTTAACGCTAGGTGCGTTAACCGAGCGGCCCATTTTACTAGACAGGTTTGGTCAGAGGAAGCGGCGCCTGTTAACAAAAAATCGAAGTAAGTGCTTTCGGGTAAACGTTTCTGCCTTTAGGTAAAAAAAACTACTTATAACTCACATCGATTATTCTAATTGCTGCTAGACGGCTGTTAGCTTTCCCTGCAAGCTGGATTATTTTTGACCCAGCTAACCTCACTGGCTAAGCCTGCCGGCTTTAGCTACGCTGCTATATCAATATGCAGTTTTTTAAACGTATTAGTATAACACGGTTAGTTTTGAAACATGTTTCACTCGCTTAAAATCAGCTGTTCTCACAGAGCCAAACAAATGGACTCGTTTGTTCTGGGTGCTTGCTAACTTTTCAGGCTCTTGTAATTGATGAAGCTGCAAGCTAATGCTAGGTTTGCCGAACTGGGTTAGTTCGTGTCCAATGGAGCATCGGCTGATCCCAGAAAAAGAGGTTTTCATCCTTAAAACTCGTTTTCACATTTTTTGTCTTTATTACGAATACATGATATATTTTGTTCAAGACTTATTTACAGCTGTCGGGTAAAACTTGACGTTGACAGTACTAATAATAAACAAAATAATAAACATGGTTTCTCTGATCTGTGCATCTTCAGTTATATATTTTCCAACATCCGGTAATAAATTTAAGTGTCACTTTTTGATCTTATTATGGTTCCAGTTAATTCAGGTGAAAAATTCCCATGTTTTTTTTTTTGTCACCATACTGAATGACATGCCAGAGAACTGTTTCATCAAACAAAACAGGTGTAACCAGTCCTTTCAGTGTAATTGTTTTATTTAGGTAAATGGTAAATGGCCTGTATTTGATATAGTGCCTTCTAGAGTCCCGGAATCCCCCAAGGCGCTTTACAACACAATCAGTCATTCACACACACATTCACACACTGGTGGGGATGAGCTACAATGTAGCCACAGCTGCCCTGGGGCGCACTGACAGAGGCGAGGCTGCCGAGCACTGGCGCCACCGGTCCCTCCGACCACCACCAGCTGGCAATGTGGGTTAAGTGTCTTGCCCAAGGACACAACGACAGCGACAGACTGAGTGGGGCTCGAACCTGCAACCTTCCGATTGCGGGGCGAGCACTTAACTCCTGTGCCACCGTCGCTAGGTCATGTAGATTGATGGAACGCTTTTTGAAGATATCCATCCATCCATTTTCATCCGCTTATCCGGAGTCGGGTCGCGGCGGCAGTAGCCTGATGGGCTCAACACGCGGGAGGCGACAAACGACCGCGATCAGCGAAATTTGTCGCTGTCGCTTGTATTACCTAATGGGCTCAACACACGGGAGGCGACATCGCCTCTCTTCCATTCATTTTCAATGAGACTTGCGCGACAAAGCGATAATCGCGGGTCTCCCTCCTACCAAGCGAAACGCGAAAAACGTGCGTGTGAAATTTTGCACTCGTGCACATGTCGTGCACAGGCAACCCAGCGACGCGATCCCAGAAAGTAGAAATATTTTCAACTTTTCATTGCTGTCGCTCGGACGAGGACCAATCAACTGAGGTTTCATTCACTGACCAATGAGCGGACAAGATGTTCCATACATCTCCGAGCAAACATGGAGGAGAAGTTGATTATTATTATGTTTTGTATAGTCAAATCAGAAGTAAGATTTCACATAACTCTAGCAGCATCTTGTGAAACATCATATCTACCACTTTATTAACTCTGAACTGCTTAAATAACCTTAATTCCCTCCAACCTGACACAGCCAAACAAAACAATGGAAGTTTCGATTTCGCCATGGAACAGAACCTGTAGAGGGCTTTGCCGCTGTCCGCTGTTGCGGATCGCCTCCCGTGTGTCAGGTAATAAAAGCGACAGCGACAAATTTCGCTGATCGCGGTCGTTTGTCGCCTCCCGTGATTCGAGCCCATGACACACGGGAGGCGATCCGTGGCAGCGGCCAGCGGCAAAGCCCTCTACGCGTTCTGTTCCATGAAGGAAATGAAAACTTCCGTTGTTTTGTTTGGCTGTCAGGTTGGAGGGAATTAAGGTTATTTAAGCGGTTCAGAGATAAAAAAACAAAAAGTGGTAGATAATATGATGTTTCACAAGGTGCTGCTAGAGTTATGTGAAATCTTACTTCTGATTTTACTATATAAAACATAATAATAATCAACTTCTCCTTCATGTTTGCTCTGAGATGTACGGAGCATTCTGTCCGGTCCTCATCCTCATCCAAAAGTTGAAAATATTTCAACTTTCTGGGATCGCGTTGCTGGTTCGCCTGTGCACGACACGTGCACGAGCGCAAAATTTCCCACGCATAGTTTCGCTTAGTAGGAGGCAGACCCGCGATTATCACTTTGTCGCGCATGTCTCGTTGAAAATGAATGGAGGAGAGCCGAAGTCGCCTCCCGTGTGTCGAGCCCATAAGGCGAGAGGCCCAGACTTCCCTCTCCCCAGCCACTTGGGCCAGCTCCTCCGGGGGAATCCCAAGGCGTTCCCTGGCCAGGTGAGAGACATAGTCCCTCCACCGTGTCCTGGGTCTACCTTTAGGTCTCCTCCCGGTTGGACATGCCCGGAAAACCTCACCAGGAAGGTGTCCAGGAGGCATCCTGACTAGATGCCCGAGCCACCTCAACTGGCTCCTCTCGATGTGGAGGAGCAGCAGGTCTACTCCGAGCCCCTCCCGAATGACCAAGCTTCTCACCCCATCTCTAAGGGAGAGCCCAGCCACTCTTTGGATCTCGTTTTTTCGGTCACTACCCAAAGCTCATGACAATAGGTGAGGGTAAGAACGTAGATCGACCAGTAAATCGAGCGCTTCGCCTTCTGACTCAGCTCTCTCTTCACCAAAACAGACCGGTACAACGCCTGCATCACTGCAGATGCAGCACCAATCCGCCTATTGATCTCACTCTCCAGTTTTCCCTCACTCGTGAACAAGACCCCGAGATACTTAAACTCCTCCACTTGGGGCAGGACCTCATCCCTGACCCGGAGAAGGCTTTCTACCCTTTTCCGAATCAAGACCATGATCTCAGTTTTAGAGGAGCTGATTCTTGTCCCAGCTGCTTCACTCTCAGCTGCGAACTGCTCCAGCGAAAGCTGAAGATCACGTTCTGATGAAGCCAACAGGACCACATCATCTGCAAAAAGAAGAGACCTGATCCTCAGGCCACCAAAACGGATGCCCTCCACACCTTGGCTGCGCCTAGAAATCCTGTCCATAAAGGTTATGAACAGAATCGGTGACAAAAGGCAGCCTTGGTGGAGTCCAACTCTCACTGGGAACGAGCCCGACTTACTGCCGGCAATGCGGACCAAGCTCTGACTCCGGTCATACAGGGACCTAACAGCCCATATCAGAGGGTCTGGTACCCCATACTCCCGGAGCGCCCCCCCCCCCATGGGGTCCCCCGAGGAACGCGGTCAAACGCCTTCTCCAAATCCACAAAACACGTGTAGACTGGTTGGGCAAATTCCCATGCACCCTCCAGGATCCCCCTAAGGGTATAGAGCCAGTCTGGTGTTCCACGGCCAGGACGAAAACCACATTGCTCCTCCTGAGTCTGAGGTTCAACAATCTGACGGACCCTCCTCTCCAGAACCCCTGAATAGACCTTACCAGGTGATGGTCAGAGGGACCGGTGGTGCCCCAGGGCAGCCGTAGCTACAATGTAGCTCGTTACCACCTGTGTGTGAATGGGTGAATGACTGATTGTGTTGTAAAGCACCTTGGGGGGGGTTCCAGGACTCTAAAATGCGCTATATCAAATACAGGCCATTTGCAGTGGTCTCTAGTGGGAATTAATGCTTTGTAAGTTGTTTTTTGGGGTGGGGAGAAATGTACTTCAGAGTTACTGATTATAATCTAAAATAACATAAAAATGTTTTGTTCAGTCAACCACATGTTTAACATTTTTCCCCTTCACAGCAGGCAACTGTCCTCCTTTCCTGTCAGAATGACTGATCCAGCTGTGAAAAGGGTGGTTGGTGATATAATTCGCTCTCCTGAAGACAAGAGGGTTTACAGAGGCCTGGAGTTTACCAATGGCCTGAAGGCCATGCTCATCAGTGACCCAACGACAGACAAGGCCTCTGCTGCCTTAGATGTCTACATAGGTAAACACTTTTGGTTTGCTTGATCATAGGAAAATAAGAAAGCTGTTTTGGGCTTGTTCTCTTGAGGACATGACATTTTCTAGACCAGGGGTCCACAAAAGCCCTTAAAAGATAACATCCTGATGATCATGATTTTTTTCTTTTGAATTTAAAAAGCTTAAAGCTTTGGCAAAAAGGAAAATAAGCCTTACAGTTATGTGCAGCTATTTCCCCATAGTTCTATAAAAGCAGGAGTCTCTTTCTGGAGTATTTCTCTTATCTGATGGCCCTATCTAGTGGCTGACAAGCATATCACACAAATAATTTCTTCAGCTTTTTTTAATGGCGATTGTACGTTTCTTGTTTATAAACGGGCTTCTGTAGTCGACAAACAGAGAAATAAACATGTTTTACGAATATTATTCTCATGTCATGTTGTGTTCTCATATATTTATATTTTAGAGACTTACTTGTCCGTGAAAAGTTCATCAACTCTGCATCAGCCGAGTTACTCCTTTCATTTGAAGTTTGTAAGCGGTAGTCTAGCGCTATTGGTTAGTTCTGGTCGGCGCTCAGTTTCCTATTACTCGGAGCTCTGCGGGGCAGGGGGCGTGCTTAGCAAAACAGAAATAAAGATGTATTGCTTACATTAATCACAGTGCATGATGAGACAATCACTTTTATGGATTTCTGAAAAATCATACATAATTACTGAAAGGATAAAACTCAGGAAAGCTATTTTAAGTCCTCACCCCGTTACAAGAGGTTTGCCAGTTCATGTCCCACTCACTCATTCTGTCACAGTTGTCCTTAAGCCGGGACCACATTGTGCGTTTTTCGGCCGTCGCACAGGATTGCTCATAATTCCATTTTTGGTTCTTTTTTAAAACACAGGAAAGTTTTCTCTTTACCTTGCTGACAGTTTCGTTTGCTGACTGCAAAACATCCTCAAGAGAGGATGACGCTGATGGTGGCGTCACTTCCCACTCCGTTTATCCGCGGGCAGCAGAGGATGTTGTCGCCCTCTGCTGCCCGCTCTCCCCTCTCCAATGACGCAGTCCCATGCACGATCCAATGTGCAGGTCTTTAATGCGTGCTGTATGTGTTTGTCTTCTTGTTTACGGTCTCTTTCTTCTGTTATCATGTTTGCTCAGTGATATGATGTGATATGATGTTCTGGGGCCTCATTTATCAAGTTTGCTTACGCACAAAACGGGGTAGGAAAACTGCGTAATCAACTTTCCACGCAAACTTTGGGATTTATGAAAGAAAACAGCGGAAAAATGTGCACAACTTTAAGTTGACTAAGGACCTGGCTTACGCACATTTTGGACATGGAGAGCACCTGCAGTGCTGCTGCTGAGAAGGATACACTTATGAAATCCTGCAACATTATCACTTGTACCGCTTCATTTTCACACAGAACAAGACCCCCCACACGCACACACACGTGTGCGCGCACACACACATGCGCGCACACTCACACACACATGCGCACACACACATGCACACACACACACACACACACACAGTCTGAAGCGCAGAATACGGAATGCAGAATATCAAGCAGGGGGACAAATTGAGACATAATGTCATGTGTCTGTGACAGTGTGTATCCTGTCACTGTGACCCAATTGATTATGCACCCTGGCTACTTGTACAAGGGAGATCTCCGTTTGGCTGACAGGTTAGCATGTGTGACTTTCACCCGGGAGTCTGGGGATCAAATCCTGAATGGACCTTTTTTTTTAAATATCGGCCACAGATCTCACGAAGAATTCACAACGTTGACGGCTTCAGCAACGCTGTGCCACTCCGTGGATTTTCTCTTATTTGTTTTGCAAAAGCACTTCCTTTCATTTCTCCACCTCACCCACAAGTACCTCAACATCTGCTTCTGTGAAATAGCGCTTCCTTGATCTGCCTTTATCTACGGTCGCCATGTCATTGGCGGAGTACTGCAACAGCCGGCTTATGTATATGCATGAGATCCACGAGGCACTTTGCATTGACTATTTATGGCAGTAAGTGGGTGTGGTGAGGGCGGGATGTGACTAAAAAGCAGCTGAGAACCTTTCTAGATAGTTTCTGATTTATGAAGCGGAGATTGCATCCAGCTGTGTGTACCCCATGTTTGATAGATCACAAACCTACTTGGCGTAAGTGCTTTTTTTTTTGCTGAGCTTAAGTACAGTTTTAGTAAGAATTCTACGTAATCTTTGATAAATGAGACCCCTGATTACTGACATTTTGTGTATGGTAGGGTGTTCTGATGTCCATAATAAGCATTGGCCTGTGGTGTTGGTTTACTACATGTGTTTGTTTAGGGTCCCATCGGTCTGCCTGGTTATTTTTATGTCCATAAATGCTATACTGCCTTCTGTTTCTGACTCATAAGTGATCTTTATGTTGCCTGTGTCGTCAATGTTATTCAAGTGTTGTGTTAGTGTTTGTTTGTCCTTTTAGTATGATTTCCAGTATGTCGTCTACGTAGCGTTTCCATAATTTTGTTTTGTAATTTTGGGGGGGGGTGGGGGGGTGGCTATGGTTTTTTTGTTCTTCGTCTTCCATGAAAAACTCGCACAGGGTGGCTGATGACGGGTTACCCATGGCGAAGCTTTCCAGTTGTTTGTATATTGTGTTATCGTATGCGAAGTAAGTGGAGTTAGCTACCAGTCCTATCAGATGTGCTATGTCATCTGCTGTGAGGTTTGTTCTTTTGTGTAAGGTCTTGTCCTGTCTGATTCTGTTAACTACTATGTCTATGATTTTTTTGGGTTGGTGTTTTTGTGAACAGGGATGTGATGTTGTGAGATGAGTATAGCGTTATCTTTTATTGTAGTCTTTTTTTTTTAGTTCTTTTGCCAGTTCTGTGCTATTTTTTCAGTGTTGATTTGTGTTGCCTAATAATGGGCTCATGATTTTGCTGATTTCTTTTGCCCTGTTGTATGTTGGTGTACCTACAGTGGTGTGAAAAACTATTTGCCCCCTTCCTGATTTCTTATTCTATTGCATGTTTGTCACACAAAATGTTTCTGATCATCAAACACATTTAACCATTAGTCAAAGATAACACAAGTAATCACAAAATGCAGTTTTGAAATGATGGTTTTTATTTAGGGAGAGAACAAAATCCAAACCTGCATTGCCCCGTGTGAAAAAGTAATTGCCCCCCTTGTTAAAAAATAACCCAACTGTAGTGTTTCACACCTGAGTTCAATTTCTGTAGCCACCCCAAGCCTGATTACTGCCACACCTGTTTCAATCAAGGAATCACTTAAATATGAGCTGCCTGACACAGAGAAGTAGATCAAAAGCACCTCAAAAGCTAGACATCATGCCAAGATCCAAAGAAATTCAAGAACAAATGAGAACAAAAGTAATTGAGATCTATCGGTCTGGTAAAGGTTATAAAGGCATTTCTAAAGCTTTGGGACTCCAGCGAACCACAGTGAGAGCCATTATTCACAAATGGCAACAACATGGAACAGTGGTGAACCTTCCCAGGAGTGGGCGGCCGACCAAAATTACCCCAAGAGCGCAGAGACAACTCATCCGAGAGGTCACAAAAGACCCCAGGACAACTTCTAAAGAACTGCAGGTCTCTCCTGGAACTTCTCTTGATGATATAGATCTTTGTCCCCCCTCCCCCTGCCACACCTGGTGTGAGGGGTTGTGCCATGGTCTGCCTGAGTGTCCGTGGCAACCGGGTCTGGGGGTTTAAGATTTTGGCATCTGCCTGATAGATCCCGGTGACTGCCTGGTAGGGTCTGGGTCCCTGGGCTCTGCTGGGTCCCCGGCGGGGGTGGTCGCCCCTGGGTCCCGGGTCGCTGGGTCCCGGGCTCGGCCGGCTAGGGGGTGGGAGGCTGCGGGCAAGCCTGAGGGCTTGCCGCTGATATCTCCCGGGACTCTGCCGGCTGCTGGTTGTGGCCCCCCGGGGCGATCCTCTGTGCCTCTCGAGGGGGGCGGGGGCCTTTCTGGTTGCCGTCTCCTTGGGGTTCCTGTGTTCTGGGGCAGCGCCTGGATCTCTGGGACTTGGAGCTCCCCCCGTCTCCTGCGCATCTTTGGGGGGTGGATCTGTGGTCCCTCACACTCTCTGTTGGACGCTATAGAGAAACCTTAAATAAACAAGCGCGTGCTCACATGGTGCTCTCAAAAGTATGGGCTTGGGCACGTTAAACACAGGTCTTAAGACTATGGTGGGCACTTAATGCACTGTGATTTATTATCGTGATTCTTCAGTTAAGCAATGTTGATTATATATTTTTTTCATCAAGTTGACGCAGTGATAGCTAGATCTTGTTGTATTGTTGTTGTGTCCCTTTTTTTGTCCTTTTGCTTTTTTTTTGTCTTTTTCTGCAGGCCTAGAAGCAGACTCTTGTTCATTGTTTATTTTTCTCTTTTTCTTGTTGATGAGTTTAACTTCTTTATGTCTTTCTTTTACTTTTGTGAACTCTTTTTCCTGTTTTTCCATCGTGTGTCCTTTAATTTGTTCCTCCATTTTTTCATCTAGTTTGTAATTCCTTTTTAAGTGCAGGTATCTTCTTTCCAGTTCGTTATCCACTTGCTTCTGTTTGGTTACGACATTTTTTAACCTTTCTTTGAGTAGTGCTTTCTGTGTTCTTTCATTATGTTCTGTGCTATCTTGGTCCGGATCGGTGTTTTCTGCTGTAGGCTTGTTGGCATGATGCTTTCGTCCCGGCATCTTAAATTGAAGCGAAGGTGGTTCCTTAGACATGCGCGCTTTTGATGTGAACGTTCCAAACGACGGAAGTCCTTTGTTCCTTGTTGTCTGTATTTTTCTTTAAACATGTTTGATGTCTGCGGATAAACGGAGTAGGAAGTGACGCCACCATCAGCGTCAGCTCTGGGGATGTTTTGCAGTCAGCAAACAAAACTGTCAGCAAGGTAAAGAGAAACCTTTCCTGTGTTTTAAAAAAAGAACCAAAAATGGAATTAGAAGCCAACATACCAAAGAGGATTGCTCATGTCACACTCTTAAGAGTCTAGAAAGGTGGCATGTTGTACGTCGCAAAATTTCAGTGAGTCAGACTGCACAACGTGATGCTCCTGCAGCAGGACATGCAGCATCATGAGCGCACCACCCAAAAGCATATGTCACTAAAGCAGACTGCTAACCAAGGCCAAGCTGAGAAGATTAAACAGTGCCTATTTTTTAGTGTCACCTCATGACCCAGCTCATCTTCCTCAAAGAAGAAGGATCATTTTCAAAACCTTCGCTTTGGCCTCAGACTCCGGCTGTGAGTCTTTTTCCCATCTTCCAGATAAACAGCTGAACTGTCTGCTGGACATTCACCCTTCTCATCCTCCTACATACGAAAGCACCCACTAAACTACAGAGAAGTAACAATCTGCCAAAGATCGCTCCAATATCTAAAGTTTTGCCGTGAATTCCGTCTCTCTGTTTACTTTGTAGCTCCACTCCGTGAGCTCATCACACTCGCTGTCTCGCGCAGACTCCTGTCCCTCAGCAACAAACCGCTAATGAACCCATCCTAGTCAGTTAAATATGTGAGATTTCCACCATCAGCAAAGGGAGCTCATGTTTTAAATTTTTTTAATTTTTTCATTTTAATGTTTGTGAGCTCATCTCCTCTCACAGATCACATAATTACGGTTTTCACATTTCAGCTGGTGGTCTAAAAATTTAGCTTAATTATTTTTAGTATAACTTAGATTTCATAGCTGTGGCGCTAGAATTTCAGGCATGGCGCTGTGCCACGCCTGGGCCTATGTAGGGGGAACACTGCTGCTGTAGGTCATTCATCCCCTCTGCAGTAAAAGTGTATATTTCCTTAGTTTCACTGGTGCTGGCAATATCCTGTTACACAGTAACATCAATGCAATATTCAGTATGTGTTCAATACTTGTGCAATACTGGATGTACATTAGTATGTCTGTGTCCCTTATGTTTCTTAGTTCTAGAAACCCAAGTTTCCTTTTTATTTGTTGTTTTTAGTGGTTGAAGATTACAATAATAGCTTACTGCCTGTGTATGTTTACCTGTAATCTTATTATTGTTTTTACTTCCTTTTCTCTAAGTGTATGTGCTTATGTAGCAAGTGAATTTCCCCATTGTGGGATTAATAGTCTATTCCATCACCACTAGTGTATAAACGGGTGAATAATTACTGTTGTGTTATAAGCTCCTTGGGGTTTTTAGTACTCTAGAAGTTACTAAAAGAATCCAAACCATAGTTGGTTGCCCAGTTAGATAAAAATAGCTACATTCCATCATTTTAAAGCCATAAAAATGCACTGATAACTTGAAGAGTTCCTTTTAATGGAGACACTTGTTTTTTGTCCTCAGGTTCGCTGTCAGACCCAGAGAAGATCTCAGGTTTGGCACATTTTTGTGAGCATATGCTGTTCCTTGGAACACAAAAATATCCCAAGGAGAACGAGTATAGCCAGTTCCTTAACGAGCACGCAGGAAGCTCCAATGCTTTTACAAGTGGGGAGCACACCAACTACTACTTTGACGTGTCCCATGAGCACTTGCAAGGAGCTCTTGACAGGTAATGTCATTGTTGGTGGGGGTTTAACACTGTGTTGTTCTTACAGCTGTCCTTCACATGTTTGGGTCTGGTTATGTGTCTGTGAATATTTGACACCGTTGCTGGGTTTCACATGACGTTGCATCTACGTCTCGAAAACAAAACAAACGCTGCGCATTGGGACTCTCGTGGATGGTGCTGTAGTCCTGTCGGTCCGTGTATTCCCGCTCCACCAGTCGTGTGTCGGCCTTCTGTCCACCCAAAACTGCTCTCCTTTAAAAAGCAGCTGAAAACTCACCTGTTCAGGCTGACTTTGGTGGGACCTCCTGTTGATTCTTCCTGACTACATTCTCTTCACAATGCTGGTTCTACCAATTTTGTCTTTTTTTGGGTTCCAATGATTGCGTTTTTCTTTTTTTTTTCTTCATGTTTTTAAATCTAAAAATTTCCTTTTCCCCCTCCTGCATTGTGTATTTTTAAAATAATTTTTTATTTAATTTTTGTGAAGCACCTCGTGATTTATATGTTCAGAGGTCCTATATAAAAAAATTGTTTCTTCTAAGATTTGTTTCGGTATTAATGGCAGTTTACACAATAAAACATCCCCACATGTTTGCTTCCTGTTTTAGTTAGCCTTTTCCACAATTTGAGACCATGGAGGAAGCATCTTGATGCTGCTGTTTGGCCAGCCTTGGTTGCAGCAACATGAGCACGCCTCTGGTGGAAGTCTGCTGCTTCAGCTCCCACCCAGCTGCAGTAGAGACTGATGAGCATCTTCAACAGAAGGACTCTGTATTTCTGTTTAGATACCGTCTATCCAACTCAATGGCTCGACCTGCCTTTTGGCACATTTTATTACTGGTTTTGCGTCGTCAGTCATTGCAACTACGTGCATGGTGTTGGATAACTCGTCTTTTATTCTCCCTTCTTGCCTGGGCTGACAGGAGCTGATGGTGCTGTATGTGTGCAGTGCCTCACCAGCTCTTTTTGTGCATTTGGAGAGAATGCACCCTCTTGAACAAAACGCAGGTTCTCATGGAGCGTGTGTTGTGTTTTTGGGAGAGTTTGTGCTTGTAGGGACTGTGGATGGGGCTGTGGTTTACTTGTTGTTTTCAAAAATCTTGGACTTTTTGACTAATAAATGACCAGAAAAACTACTAGTACTCACTGTACCTTGGAAAAAAAGCGCCAGTACGCTAAGAGGTAAAAATTAGAAGTGCCGGCACTGCGTACCGATGCATCTTACCCTCATCTTTGTTTAAAAGTGCTTTTCAGTCCATCGGCCCCAGCATGCTCTCTATAATTAATGCTTCTCTGGTTTCTGGTCAGGTCCCTGTTTACTTTAAGAATGCTGTAATCCACCCGCTTCTTAAAAAACCAAGTCTTAATCCCTCTCTCCATAGCAGCTTCAGACACAACTCTAAACTTCCGTTTATCTCCAAGATCTTGGAAAAGGTTGTGGCTAAACAACTCACAGCTGCTCTTGATGAACATAACATCTATGACAGCTTCCAGTCAGGTTTTCGTAGAGCTCATTCTACTGAAACAGCTCATCTAAAGCCGGGCGTACACTGTGCGACTTTTTCACTCGCAGCGTTCAGCTTCAGCTCAAACTGTACGACTTCCTTGCAGAGCAGATCTCACGAGCCAGGTGCTCACACTGTACGACCCAGTTCTTGAATGCGAGCTGACTGCTCACACTGCACGTCTGGTAGCAACACGTCGGCCCTAAAAATAAGCTAAAAATAGCAGTTTTTACTCAACACGTCAGACGTTTTTGTCTTGTTTTGCCTGTTGTCCTTTGGGAGTGCTGCAGGGGGACACACAGGGATTTATGGGGGCTGGATGAGGAAAACGAAATAAAGAAAGTAAATCTGTGTTTAGTGATCAGTTTAATTTGACATGAACACGACAAACACGCTTTCTTGACAATCTTTGTGAGTAAAAAAATGTGTAGAAACAAAAACGAACAGCGTGTGTTATTAGGGAAATAGCGAGCGGCGTTGATGCAGGATTGAGCATGCGCCGTGAGTGGTTCTGATACTTTTTGGGTCGCAGCTGCTCGCAGCGCCGCTTCAACAGTGCGATACCCTCACGAGGGACGAGCGAAATATTAAACACTCCAGAAGTCCGTGCGACCTCACGACTGCTAATCGGCAGCTGGTCACGTGGTGTTAATCGCCTCTCGTAACCCCCTGTACACTACACGACCGCTCGGCGCAAAACTCGCCCCGATGTCGTGGCTTCTCGCACGAGTGGAAAATCGGCTCAAAAAAGTGAAAAAGTCGCACAGTGTTCGCCCGGCTTTAGGGTATCCAATGACCTTCTGACCCACAGTTATCAGGGGACTGTTCTGTTCTGGTCCTGCTGGAACTGACTGCAGCCTTTGACACTGTTGACATCACCTGCTACTGGAGAGGCTGAGAGACTGGGTAGGCCTATCAGGAACTGCTCTAGAGTGGTTCTCCTCTTATCTTTCTGAGCTCTCCTTTTCTGTGGCCGTCTCCAAGTTTAGGTCCTCCACCACTTCTCTTACCCATGGTGTCCCACAAGGTTCTGTGCTGGGGCCTTTGCTTTTCCTCCTGTATCTGCTTCCTCTTCAGCACATCCTGAGCTCCTTCAAAGGAATCTCCTACCATCTTAACGCAGATGACATCCACATCTCCTTTAAGTCCCATGAGATGTCTAAGCTGCAGCTGTTCCACACCTGCTTAGACTCTATTAAAACCTGGATGGTGGAACTTTCTACAGCTGAATGAAGATAAGACTGAGATCCTCATCTGTGCCCCAGACAAGCTGGTTCCCAAAGTCAGAGACTCTCTTGGTCAGCTTGCTTCCCACACCAAACCTTCCGTCAGGAATCTTGGCGTGACCTTTGACCCAGCTCTCCCCCTGGATTCTCATGTCAGTTCTCTTGTTCGCTCTTCCTTCTTCCATCTCAGGAACATTGCTAAGCTGAGTCCCATTGTGTCCCGCTCTGAACTGGAGACAGTTCTCCACACCTTCATCTCCTCACGCTTAGACTACTGTAACTCTCTTTTCACGTGTCTGAGCAGAACCTCCCTGAACCGTCTACAGGTGGTTCAGAAGGCCTGTGCTCGGCTTCTGACCAAGTCCTCCAAACACACCCACATCACCCCGCTTCTCCTCCAGCTTCACTGGCTGCCATTCAGCTTCAGGGTTCATTTAAAGATCCTGGTTCTGGTCTATAGGGCCTTACATGGACAAGCACCATCTTACATTGGTGATCTTCTTAGTCCCTACACCCCCAGCAGGTCCCTGAGGTCCAGTGATCAAAGCCTACTGGTTGTGCAGCACCAGGCTAAAGACCAAAGGTGACAGATCATCTGCTGCTCTGGCCCCCAGACTCTGGACCTCTCTCCCCCTGAGCCTGAGATCGGTGGACTCAGTGGACTCCTTTAAAAGCAGCTGAAAACTCACCTGTTCAATCTTGATTTGGTGTGACTTTAATCACCCTCTCCTTGTTCTATTCTCCCTACCTATTCCACCTTCTTCAGAATCCACTGATTTCCCTCTTTCCTATTCACTCTCTATCTTTCTTTACATTTTTTAAATCACAATTGTCTATTTTTGCCCATTTTAAATAAAGAATTTTCTAAATTCTTTTTTTATATTTGTACACTTTGTTTTTGTGAAGCGCTTCGTGATTTTTATCTTAAGAGGCGCTATAGAAAAGACCTCTTCTCCTCCTCCTTCTTCTTCGCCTTCTTCAATTAAAGCACTGCATGCGGGAATTAGGAAGCCACCGCTGGCTGATTCTACCCGTCAATCTGAGGTTCCTTCTATTAGGTAGGTGTGAACTTCAGGAAATATCAGGAATTAGGACTCTAAATCCTGCTTTTTACTGACACTCTTTGCTCTAGCTGACTTCTACATCCTCAAACTGGTGCACCGGAACTTTTTTCCCTCCAGAGTACGACTTGCAAGGCATTCATTCAAACTAGGGACCACTGCAAATGTATTAAATACGAGTTATATCTTTAAAAATTAAAGAGCAAGTCACATCAAAATCAACTTATTTGAGCTGATAACTAGTAGAAATGAGTGCCTAGTAGTGTTTTAGACATGTGTAGTTATTTTTGCATTTTGATGCGTTTTCTTTGAAAACTCTAAATTCTGTCTACAAACGTCAGTCTAGCGCCATCTTCAGCTCAAAAGCATAGACCACGTTTATTTTGAGTCAGTTTTAGCCAATGGCTAACGAGAACAATGCTACATATTTCAGAAAAGTACTACGTAGCAAAAATGTTTCTATTCTCTAGTATATTGTTGTGTAATATGTGTTTGTATTACATCTTTTTACTGTGACATGCAACTAAACAAAAGGAAATGGGTTTGAAATATTTGAGTGTGATGTCTTAGTCAAGAGTAGAACTTTTACTGGGATGGTGCTTGTCCTGGATGAGGGACTAGTCATAATGCATAGGTCAGTGCTGCATATCCACCCCTAACCCTGAAAAAAAGTAAAACATACTTTAGAGGTAGTAAAAATGGTAGTAAAAGGTAATAAATGCTACTGTAAGTTTCCTGTATAAACCATGAATTGAACCATTTTGTTGTTGAATTAAGACTTTAGTGTGATTTGTATTTCTTTGTTTGCATAGTCGTTGCACTTACCTTGCACTCATGCAAATTGATGTTTCTTCGCATTTGCACATGGTTGTCCTTTACACCTGTTGAACAACAAGAAACTATTGTTTCATTTACAAAGCATAACAATGTCAAAATCACAGAGCCTCAATTTCGCTTGGTCTTTCATCAGGTGGGGGTTTAACATTGTTTTTTTTAAGACTGATTTATACTTCTGTGTCCGCTTGGATGGGGAGTCGCGCATACGCACTGAGTGCGTTTACATGCAGCCAGTAACCCTTTTAAAACCCGAATATTCACAATAACCCGGTTCCGCATTGCCATGTAAACACCACCAAAAACCCAGATATGCTTTTGAAAACCATTTTCTAACCCGAATGTTTGGTCGTGTAAACGCATATTGGGATATCCCCATCAAAGCGTGTGTTCTGCGCATGCTCTGTTCGCAAGGAATCTTGGTCTTTTGAGTAGCGAGACGTCTTGTATGCGCCAGAACACCGGAAGTAAACAACAAGTTGGGAGCAACATGGCGAGTCGCGGCACAGCACCACACTTTTGGAGTGACGAGGAAACCTCTGTCTTCAGCGGTCTGGTGAAAAGTATGAACATTATGTCTTTTGTTGACGGCCAAAAGTACAGAGACAGCGAAATATACAAGAAGGTAACCGCATATTGTGTCTTGACGTAGTCCATACGTCCTGACGCTACCCCAACGTCTGCATTTAAATCGGGTTATGCAAGTTAGGGGTAACTCTTTCTATTTATGCTTGTAAACGGGTTATTCTGATCAACTCAGAAACCCGAATGCCGACCTTAACCCGATCATAACCCGGATATTGGCTGCAAGTAAACGTAGTCATTGATGGAGGCTTTTTCTTTTTCAGAATTCTTTGTTCCTAGGGGGGTGTTGCAAAGAAAATCCCTGCCAGGACCAAAGGGTATAGGTTTTTTTTGGGGGGGGGGGGGTGGTTCTCTGGTCCATGGATGGTCTAGCTGAGCTGAATATTTTTCCATTAACCAACATTAAACAAGAATCTTGGTCTTTTTCTACCATATCTGTAGGTTCGCACAGTTCTTCCTGTGCCCTCTGTTTGATGAGAGCTGTAAGGACAGAGAGGTGAATGCTGTGGATTCTGAGCATGAAAAGAACTTGATGAATGATGCTTGGAGGCTATTTCAGCTCGAGAAGGCCACCGGCAACCCAAAGCACCCCTTTAGTAAATTTGGAACAGGTATAAAATACCTCTTTCTCTCTTGTATCAGGCTGTTTGATTCTAATCTCACACACTGAAGTGTCAGTTTTACAGAATAACATTGCTGTATTTCTTTTTATTTTCTAAATTCTGTTTCCACTAAAATGACTGCTTCATGAGTTAAAGCTTACCAGCTGATGGCAGCCTCTGTTTTAGTTAAGAGAAGGGTTTGAAAGTGGTGCTCCTTTAGCTGAACACTGAGTGATTATCCCAAAGATGTGACTTATCTTGGATTTTGGATTCATTTTCTGAGATCTGTCTGATACAGAAAAAGGAATCTACTGTCTCATAAAATTCTTCATCTGATTTAATAATTACTGATAATGTGTTTCTGTTGCTTTTGTTCTTTAAATAAAAGCAGCTGATGTTTTTGATGTTTCAGTGATCACTGTATTTTTACATTTCATAAAGCACTAAGCGTTTCTGTGTGAATTATTTAAACTTTAATGACAACAGTTTGTTTTATACAATATGTGTTTAAAAACTTTAATTTTGACATTTATCACATATGAAGCTTTTGTTTTCTGTCATAAATTTACTGGATCTATTTCACATTTTTTTCCCAGGTAACAAAAAGACTCTTGAGACGAGACCATCAAAAGACGGGATTGACATTTGTCAGGAGCTCTTGAAGTTTCACTCCACATATTACTCCTCCAACCTCATGGGGTTATGTGTTTTAGGAAGAGGTTAGACAACTTTCTCTCATATTTTGTGTGTAAATCTTCTTCACTTAAGTACGTTGTCCGACCTTAAACTTAAGTGAAAAACACTAGGTTTTTTAAATTATTATTACTCAGTTTTAATTGTGTCATTTTGTTTCATCCACCACCACCACCACCCACCTGATTCCCTCGAAAAAAAAAAATATATATCTGTGAGCCTACGGGTTGCCGAGCCATTTGTTATTTGACACCGGCTGGCAAAATCAAACTATTTTTGTAAAGAAACTAAGTTAGTCCACCTTGTTCCTCTGATAATGACCCAGATTCATTAACTACTCACTTGAATGAGCACTGCCTCTTTTCTGGACAGCATCTGTCTTGTCGGAACCAGATCAGTTCCTGCAGTGAACTCTACTCCTTGGTTTAATGACAGCATTCGGAGCCTGAAGTGCCAATGCAAAAAAATGGAGCGCTTGTCGAAGAAAACTTGCTCAACGTACATGTGCTGCATCTAAAAGATCTTCAGACCTTGTTTAACTCTGCAGTCAGAGACGCGAGGGTTGCCTATTTTTCCAATCTAGTGTACACGAGCAAAGAGAATTCCAAGTTGTTGTTTAACACCATCGGCAGTATTCTCTCTCCTGTCTCGCCTACTGCCTCCTTACACTCTGATAGAGACTGAAAACTTCCTGTCTTTGTAGAAAAAGTCAATAAGGTTATATCTAGCAGCCCCCTCCCTGGGCTACCACCTTCCCATTGTAGCATTACGATAGTCATGTACATGCCAAAGGTCATCAGGCATTACACTGTCCAGCCATCTTCATTAGCCCGAGAAACAGTGTGCTCTCCAAAACAAAACAAATGCTCTGTGGCAGCCAGTGCAGTGAGGAGGGGTGATGTGTTCTCTTTTACACGTGCCAGTTATGAGCCGAGCAGCTGCGTTTTACACTAGCTGAAGGTGAGGCAGTAAGGACTGGCTTATTCCAAAATAGAAAGAATTACAGTTATCCAGTTTACTAATAAAGGCATGGATTACAGTTTCAAAATCCTCTGTAGGTAAGATGCTTTTTACCTTTGCTATCTGCCTCAATTGAAAGAAGCTAAATTTGACCACAGCACTGATCTGACTATCTAACTTTAAATCGCTGTCCATTTTAAAAACCAAGTTGGGTGCAGTTGGTAAAGAAGACCAGCTCTGTCCTGGGCTGTCCTTTGGACACCTGTACGAGAGGTGGGGGACAAGAGGGTGCTGGCAAAACTCAGATCCATGCTGGACCATGAGTCACACTCCTGCAGGATCCCCTGTCTACTCTGGAGAGCAGCTTCAGTGACAGGCTGATTCACCCTCGCTGTATGAAGGAAAGATACCACAGGTTTTTCATCCCTGCCGCTGCTGGACTCTATAAAGCCACTGCTAATGGAACCCAAACATCTGTAACCTCCCACTACAAATATCAACTTTCAAGACATGTGCAATACTACTTCTACTGTTATTATGTACAATATTTATCTTAATTTACAATTGCTGTATACTATTGCGTGATTTCTTTTGTCGTACTGCTGCTAACCTGCTATACCTGAGTCATTGCAATAATGCTATTTCCCCAGTGAGGGACAAATAAAGGTATTCTTATTATCAAGAGTCTTAAGTGTCTTAGGAAAGAGGACTTCTGGCATTACAAAAATAATGATGTGATGTTTGATTAGTTATCAATCATAACCCATCCGACGCCAGTGTGCAGAGTTTACTGTACTAGTGGTGAGAGCTCCTGGTAGATCCAACTGGCAAAGCAAAGTCAGTCTCAACAAGACTGAGAAGTGGTTGTTTATTTTTATTTATTTAACCTTTGTTTAACAAGATGAGTTGTTTGAGAACTCATTCTCGTTTACGATAATCTGACCAAGAGGCAGCAGCCACAGAAACAAAGTTAGCTTTACATCAAAGAAAAACAGGACAAAAACATACAAGATTAAAATGAGATTAAACCATTAGGCATAAAGACAAAAGACTGCTCTCATGTATAATATGTACAAGTAATCAAAAAAGACTTAATACAATCTTTAAGTACCCAGAAGCAGGCACATTGATCAGAAAACAATTACTGAAGGTAGATAATGGAATGTAGGTAGTGACCTTTAGTGATTGGGTTGGGTCCCCCCAGTCTGGAATGTTGGTCTTCTAGGGTGTTCAAAGGTCAAATGGCCCTTGAATACAGCTCGGCTGGTCTGAGGTTACTTTCTGGTATAGACGGTCACTTCTGCTGGAGGCTGACGGGTTGGTTTTCGTCTGATGTAGTTGTAGCAGGTTAAAACAAATAATGGTGGTTTGTTTCTGAAAAGGTGGTTCTATGCTGCTAAAAGGATTCCACAAATTTCCGTCCAATCTCAAAGCTTCCTTTTCGGTTCAAGGTTTTAGAGAAAATAGTTCATGCTCAACTTTCAGCTCATCTGGAGAACTGCTTATTTACTTATTTCAGTCTAGCTTCAGGCCCAAACACAGCACAGAATCTGCCCATATTTGTGTGCTATATGACATCCTGGTTGCATCTGATAGGAGCTTCCATGTCCTGTTACTGATGCTGGACCTTTCTCCAGCATTTGATACAATTGGTCATAGCACCTTGCTAAGTAGATTAGAGTCATTGGTGGGAGTTTAAGGGGAACCTCTCAACTGGTTTCCATCCTACCTTGGTGATAGATGCTTCAGTGTTTACGTCAGCGACTGCTCCTCACCCTCTGTGGCACTCCCATGGGGAGTGCCTGAAATACTATACTATACTAGGGGTACTAGAAAGCGCTCCTTCTGGTGACTCCCTTGTTCTGCAGGGCGGAGTTCACATAGGCAACGACAATGAAACCTGGAGAGGTGTGGTGTGGAGATATGGCCTCCTTATCTGAAATGGAGTAGTGTTTTGTAATTGGGGCAGCATTGGCTCAGGAGGTAGAGCGGGTGCGCACGGATTGTTCCATTACGTTTCTCGTCAGTATCAGTGGAGAGGAGGCCTGCGGTTCCTTAATTTTGCTGCTGTGCGTCGTCTGTGCCAGCAGGGAAGGCAAGGCCAGGGAGGATGGAGGGACCATGCTTTGCCTGGTTTCCCGCCTTAGAAAGCAATTTGGAGTCCTCTGACTCTGAAAGGCGCTATACAAATGCAGGTCATTTGTCATCATAATTTATTGGACTTCTGTTCTCATCATGGATTCTCCATAATTAACACCATGCTTATACATAATGGTGTCCAAATGTGCTCTTGGCACCAGGATACCTTAAGCCGGGCGTACACTGTGCAACTTTTTCACTCGTAGCACTCAGCTTCAGCTCACACTGTACGACTTCCTCGCAGGGCAGATCTCACGAGTCATGTGCTCACACTGTACAACCCAGTTCTTGGAGGCGACCTGACTGCTCACACTGTACGTCTGGTAGCAACACGTCGGCCCTAAAAATATGCTAAAAATAGCAGTTTTCACTCAACACGTCAGACTTTTTTGTCTTGTTTTGCCTGTTGTCCTTCGGGAGTGCTGCAGGAGGACACACAGGGATTTATGGGGGCTGGATGAGGAAAACGAAATAAAGAAAGTAAATCTGTGTTTTGTGATCAGTTTAATTTGACATGAACACGACAAACACACTTTCTTGACAATCTTTGTGAGTAAAAAAAACGTGTAGAGACAAAAACGAACAGCGTGTGTTATTAGGGAAATAGCTTCAACAGTGCGATACCCTCACGAGGGACGAGCGAAATATTAAACACTCCAGAAGTCCGTGCGACCTCACGACTGCTGATCGGCAGCTGGTCACGTGGTGTTAATCGCCTCTCGTAACCCCCTGTACACTACACGACCGCTCGGCGCAAAACTCGCCCCGATGTCGTGGATTCTCGCACGAGTGGAAAATCGGCTCAAAAAAGTGAAAAAGTCGCACAGCTTTAGGTCCAGCTTGATGATAGACTTTGTTGTTGTCTCATTTGTTCTGCGGCCACTAGGGCTGTAGCGAAGCCTCGACGAAGTCGACGGCTCGATTCTAAAAATTTGTCGACGTCAGATCCGGAAGTCGACGCACCGCGCCCACTTGTTGCATCCCCAGGAGTTTGTAAATAGAGGAGGAATCTGCCTGTTTTTCCTCTAGTTCGCCCTCTTCTCCGCCTTCACTAACATCTCCGCCAAATACCGAAGACCCGGAACAACGTCCGTCCACTACTAGATTATTTTCCTGTTTTGCCCCTTCGTCTCCCGGCAACGGACAACAACTTCCGGGGTCAGATGCGCTGCTTCGTGTCTATCGCAGATGTAGAAAATCACCGGGAGCGTTTCTCCCTTCATTAAGGAGCTTCTTTCAGACATTAGGAGAGCTGTTTTGGTGGTAGCAGTCTCTCCTCCGTGCTGGTCTGTTTGCTGCCGGGTGTTTTTGGTTTATTTAAACTTGGTAACTTGAACTTAATGTTGGTAAAGCTACTGTTAGCATCTTCGCTAACAGCTTCTTGCGTTGGGATAAGCTGTTACGTTTTGGTTTAGAGTTCATCTTTTTTGTGGTGCAGATCTCCCTTTTATTACATTTAGAGTGTTGTGGGTTTTCGGTTTAGTGTAAAATATCACCTGAGTTTGGTTTAACCCGTAAGACCACTCGCCTCACGCACATAAGTGACCAAAACAAAGCAGCATGGAGACACTCCATCTTCTACCACCTCTCAGGCAGCAGCCTGCACTCCCAAGTTCTACACGTCACCAGAACATAACCAACCGCAACACAATAAAAGCAGTGTTATACAAAATGGAAGGCCTGTAGTGTTTATTCTCTTACAGTAAGAATTTATCAATTTATTTGAGATTTTCTGGCTTTTGTTAATTGTGCAATAGAAAAATAATCATTAGATTAATTTTCTAAATAGTCATTAGAATAGTCGACTATTCGATAAAATAATCGTCAGAATAATCGTTTTAAAAATAATCGTTTACCCCCAGCCCTAGCGGCCACATCCTAAATAATTTTGCTCCTGTTTCTTTGCATGACCTAACCAAACTAGCTAACTCTATGAAGACTTCTGCATGTCCCCTCGACTTCTTACCGGCATCTTTGTTTAAAAATGCTTTTCAGTGCATTTGTTCTAGTGGGCTCTCTACACAGTGGGAGCAGTTGATTTTTGTGGACATCCCCCCGGTGAACTGGATGTTCTTGTCTACGGCATTAATGTTCTTGGTAGAAGACTTTACCAAGCACATTAACCAACTACCCTTCTTGGACTGTGCTGTGCAAATTGAACAAAATGGAAGCAAATGGAAGTCTCAGCATTGAAGTGACTTACTACACCCACTGGAGCACAAAATGTCAGTAATCGGGACTTTACACCATCGCACTGAGAATATTCCCACAAAGACTGAAGCAAAGCTATAAAAAGATAAACACATCAAGAAAGCTCTCCAACACTGCAGGTACCCTAACTGGGACTTTCTGAAATCAACAGACATCTGGAAATGAATCCACAGCAGCAACTAGCAAAGAAAATGACAACAGTCGCAAAGGCACCGTCTTCCCATACGTGGCAGGAGTCTCAGAGAAACTTAGAAGAATCTTCTCCAAATACAATATCCCGGTAAACTTTAAACTAGGGATGTCCCGATGCGAAATTGCATTGCTGCAATTGACTTTTATTTAGAAAATTACTGTCGAGCCCTATGTTAACTGTGGAATTTGTCGCATCCCAGAAGCAGGTTCTATTTGAAGCAATGATGTGCTGCCATTTCGCGCTGCTGATGCTTCCAATGTGAAGTAGGCTTAAGCTTGGTTTATGCTTGACGCATTCACTTTCCGCGCGGTGATGCGGCTCCTGGCTGGAACGCGCTTCACAACTCGCAGCGTTTATGGTTTGTGTGGCTCGTCTCTGCGGTGAGCCAATATTCTCCCAAACTGAACGGGGCAGCATGGAGCTCTACAGCAAGCATCCAACACTACACCATAGTAGAAGTAGAAATTACTGTTTACAACATGACATTTCAGCATTTTTAACAGCGTTCTCGTCTTTTCCGACAGTGCGAACTATTTCTCTCCAAGAATTATTAACAACATGTTGATCACGGTGATCTCTGAGAGCTGAATCATACAAATGTCTGTATTTACGAACCTCTGCCGTGCCGGTCCGCCATGTTTTTCCGCGTCCGACCGTCCGCGTGGTTAGAAATTTCCGAGGTGCGCGTTGCGGAAATCTTGGGCCGTGCGGAGACGCGGTGGAGGGGCGTGGTTGTTAAAATGACGCAAAATGACGCAACTTTTCCGCGCGGAGCCGTGCGGACCTCGCGGACGCGTCAAGCATAAACCAACCTTTATGGCTCTCTGACACCGCCACAGTGTTGCAGCAAATTGATGGCATTGTTTTGTAAAAACATTCTTAAGACAGACTCTTACCGCAATATTAATTCCAAGCAAGGCCAAACAAATGCTGCAAAATTCACGCATCACCATGCCGACATGGCACATTTGTTGGACACAGCGTTGTGGTAATATTGAGCTGATTTGCTGGCATGGTGTGTCTGGTAAAAATTATTCGAGATAGGCAGGGGTAGTATAAAGGAGGGGTGGGTCAGTTTTGGAAATGCAAAGTCAGGGGCGGGGTTGAAGTGTGTTGGTGCTGGTTTGCTTGGAAATCATTCATAACTTCTTGCAGTTCTAGTTCTAGTTTCTTTATTTTACGAGGTGACAGACTCATTGAGATGTCAAATTTCATTTGCAAGAGTGACCTGGTCCAAGAAGGCTGCATGAAAGCAACACATGGGATTGCACAAAGTCACACGTTACAGCAAAAGCACAAACAAGGAAACCAGTAGTTGGAAAACCGTTCATTAAAATGGGTTCGGGATCATTCAGTGTGTGAGTCGGTTTCATTGGTTATAAACAACGTTTCAAACAGCAGCTCTACACAAGCTTCTAATTGGATTCAACATCTCTTGTTTCGGCTGAAAGTTTCTTTATTCTTTTCATAGAATCTCTTGATGATTTGACATCTATGGTGGTAAAGCTATTTGGAGAAGTGGAAAACAAGAATGTTCCTGTCCCAGAATTCCCTGAACACCCCTTCCAGGAAGAGCACCTCAGAGTAGGTCATATACTTGTTTTTTACAGAGTAATTCAAAGGTTTTTTATTTAATTTTTTTTTACTGTCTCACAAGTGTGTTTCTGTGATTTCGTGCAGTGCATTTTTGTTTTCTTCAGTCAGTTTCAGTGATTGAAGGAATTGTTTTTTTCTTTCTGTTGCAGCAATTCTACAAAGTTGTTCCCATCAAAGACATTAGAAACTTATACGTGACATTTCCAATCCCAGACCTACAGAAGTACTACAAGTCAAACCCAGGACATTATCTGGGACATCTTATTGGTCACGAAGGACCTGGAAGTTTGTTATCAGAGCTAAAATCTAAAGGTATTGAGAAACATGCAACCTGATTTAATGCTGCCAACGTTGAAGTGATTATTATGAAAAAAAAACATATGTATAGATAACTTTCTGGACAGGCAGAAGACATATTTGAGTCAGGTATTTGATACTGAAAGGTATTTTATTATTGGTTTATTTTAAATCGTATAAAAGTCCAACCATCTGAAATGAGAACTTTTAACATTTACAGCTTTCACAAAAACGTTTCAGTTACTCCTGCCAAAGTGACAGATAAAAGAACCACAGGACATTTTTGAATGTCCTCACGTACTACAGATTTGTATCTATTTAACAATGAGTATTGTAGTGACCTCTAAAATATACATATTTTGATTGCTATAATAATCTGTTGGAATAATAAAATAACCCCTGATGTTTTTCAAAAACCAAACTCTTTTCTATCATTTCTATCATTAGTCACTGCTCAGAAAATTATAATAAACCATCAGAATGAATCAGAACATTATTGAATTATTATGATAATCATGAGACCTGGGAAAACATCAGAAACTATCTGAAATACTAATGATCCATAATGGGTTATCTTAAGATGATTAACTGCAAATGTCTGGTGCTTCAGTGCTGCACGTTTGTATTACTGTTTGTACTACAATACTCTTAAAGCTTCTGGTGCCCAGATAAATAAAAATATGTTGCTGATGACAGTCACGGAGATGAGGCAATCTCTGACCATTGAAAACATATCTGTAGCATAGACTGTGCAAACTGTCATCAGACATTCTGCTGTTTGTGGTTTTCAAGATGTTTGTTTAATGACAAGTTTCAGCAAGGGTTAGAGGAGAAGCAGGTTGATTTTAAGTTTTTCATCAGAAAAATCAGACATTGTAGAGTATGTTGGGAATGTTTGAGTCTCAGGAGGATGTAATTAACAAAACTTGGATTCTGATTTATTTAGAGAATAAATTTAGTGCTCTAAATCTTTTCAAGGCTGGGTCAACACACTCGTTGGAGGTCAGAAGGAAGGAGCCAAAGGATTCATGTTCTTCATCATCAATGTCGACCTAACTGAAGAGGGCCTGCGTAAGTGTGTGTGTGTGTGTGTGTGTGTGTGTGTGTGTGTGTGTGTGTGTGTGTGTGTGTGTGTGTGTGTGTGTGCGCGCGCGCGCGCGCGCGTGAGGGCATGCAAAAGAAGCATTAATGTAATAACTGAGGTCTTTTTTGTCACTGCAGTACATGTTGAGGACATAATCTTTCACATGTTCCAGTACATCCAGAAACTTTGCACTGAGGGGCCTCAGGAATGGATCTTTCAAGAATGCAAAGTAAATATAGTATTTGTTGTTGAGTCACATTATTTAGTATCGGTTAACCAGCTGTCACACTCAGTAGAGACTGAGTTGACATCTTAATCTTATTTATGAAACATTATTCCTATACCACATTAGATGTGACCTTTTGTTCCATCCTTATTTTGCTTGTTCTCTCTCTAGGATTTAAGTAAGGTAGCCTTTAGGTTCAAGGATAAGGAACGACCTCGTGGCTACACCTCTAAAGTGGCTGGTCTGCTGCATGTAAGTGCTGTTTTCAACCAACACTACGCTGTTTCCATGGTGATTAGAGCTACATCTGTACTTTTCATCAGACTGTCTGGTATTGCTGTAAAGTTGAAGTTAAGCTTAACAATTAATCATTTATATTTTGCCCATTCTCTCAGTTTTAGGCTATTTTATTTATTTAATACCCATAGAGGATCCTAGTAGGCGGACCCCAGTGTTGTGCCCCACAAAAGGCTGCTCATCTAGCAAGATGACTTAAATTATATAATAATTATTTTATTTAAAGGAAAGGAGCATTCAAATACCCTTTTCTCTGGACTGGTCAGAAGCAAAAGAGCCCTGAGCAGACGATTACATGTGGTTTTATAGCATAAAGAGGACATCCCCCGGTTGCGTGAAACTCAAATGGGGTTCAGGAGGTGTCTGAATATTAATAGTTGAAGACCAGAACAATGATTTATTTTCCTCTAAAATGTTACTTAATTTCATAGTTATTGTTTAGTACACGAGCAAGATTTTATTGTGTTATTATTGATATTCAATTAAAATGTATTTATAAAGCACCAAATCAGGACGAGTCATCTCAAGGACCTTCACACAGTAAACATCCCAATACAGGTCGTGGTCTCATTTATCAAGTTTGCTTACGCACAAAACGGGGTCGGAAAACTGCGTAAGCAACTTTCCACGCAAACTTTGGGATTTATGAAAGAAAACTTGGCGGAAAAATGTGCGCAACTTTTAAGTTGACTAAGGACCTGGCTTACGCATATTTTGGACACGGAGAGCACCTGCAGTGCTGCTGCTGAGAAGATAAAATTATGAAATCCTGCAGCATTATCACTTGTACCGCTTCGTTTTCACACAGAACAAGACCCCCACACGCACACACACACACATATATGCGCACACTCACACACACGCGCACACACAGCCTGAAGCGCAGAATACGGAATGCAGATTATCAGCAGGGTGACAGATTGAGACAGAATATCGTGTCTGTGACAGTGTGTGTGTCCTGTCACTGTGATCCGGTTGATCATGCGCCCTGGCTACTTGGACAAGGGAGATCTCCGTATGGGTGACAGGTTAGCATGCGTGACTTTCACCTGGGTGTCTGGGGATCGAATCCTGATTGGACCATTTTTTTTATATCCACCACAGATCTCTCTGAAGAATTCACAACATTGACGGCTTCAGCAACGCTGTGCCACTCCGTGGATTTTCTCTTATTTGTTTTGCAAAAGCACTTTCTTTTATTTCTCCACCTCACCCACAAGTACCTCAATTTCTGCTTCTGTGAAATTGTGCTTCCTTGATCTGCCTTGATCTACGGTCGCATCGTCATTGGCGGAGCGCTGTAACAGCCGGCTTATGTATATGCATGAGATCCACAAGGCACTTTGCATTGACCATTTATGGCAGTAAGTGGGCGTGGTCAGGGCGGGATGTGACAAATAAGCAGCTGAGATCATTTCTAGATGGTTTCTGATTTATGAAGCGACGATTGCTTGCAGCTGTGCGTACTCCATGTTTGATAGATAACAAACCTGCTTGGCGTAAGTACATTTTGTTGCTGAACTTAAGTATGGTTTTAGTAAGAATTCTACACAATGTTTGATAAATGAGACCCCAGGTCATTAAGCCAGTCAGTAAAAAGTTTCCTATATGAGGAACCCAGCAGGTTGCGTCGAGTCACTGACTCGTGTCAGAGTCTTTACAGCAATCCTCATACTAAGCAAGCATGCAGCGACAGTGGAGAGGAAAACTCCCTTTTAACAGGAAGAAGCCTCCAGAGGACCCTGGCTCAGTATAAGCAGCCATCTGCCATGACTAACTGGGGATGGAGAAGACAGAGCACGCACGCACGCGCGCACGCACGCACACACACACACACACACACACACACACACACACACACACACACACACACACACACAACATATCCCCCAATCTAGCATATAGGGGAATGCAACATGACAGTCACAATGATTGAGGCAGGTCAACTAAAGAGTAAAAGGTTGTTTATTTGCTGAAGATGGGGGATAAGAAGGGACCTGTGGGTTGACCAAATAAGTGAAATCAATAAAACAAAACACACCCTAAATAAACTCTTAATCTTATAAAAAGAAAAGAAATTCCTAACTAACTTACAGTGGTGTGAAAAACTGTTTGCCCCCTTCCTGACTTCTTATTCTTTTGCATGTTTGTCACACAAAATGTTTCTGATCATCAAACACATTTAACCGTTAGTCAAATATATCACAAGTAAACACAAAATGCAGTTTTGAAATGATGGTTTTGATTATTTAGGGTGAGAACAAAATCCAAACCTACATTGCCCTGTGTGATAAAGCAATTGCCCCTGAACCTAATAACTGGTTGGGCCTCCCTTAGCAGCAATAACTGCAATAAAGCGTTTGCGATAACTTGCTACAAGTCTTTTACAGCGCTCTGGAGGAATTTTGGCCCACTCATCTTTGCAGAATTGTTGTAATTCAGCTTTATTTGAGGGTTTTCTAGCATGAACCACCTTTTTAAGGTCATGCAATAGCATCTCAATAGGATTCAGGTCAGGACTTTGACTAGGCCACTCCAAAGTCTTCATTTTGTTGTTCTTCAGCCATTCGGATGTGGATTTGCTGGTGTGTTTTGGGTCATTGTCCTGCTGCAGCACCCAAGATCGCTTCAGAAGAGGGGAGAATCTGACTCATGTTAAGAAGAAGAAGAAGAAGAAAATATCATTTCTATAGCGCCTCTCAAGATAAAAATCACGAGGCGCTTAAGCATAATTCTGCGCACACGAAGACGCATAAGAGACCTGGATGATGAAGCTCAATGGTTAAAGGAATAACTGAAGCCGTGTGAAGCGCTCCGTCGCGCGTCTAGACGGTACCGTAGGAGGCGAGCTGCCGTGGTTCGCCGCATGCTACAGCAGCGGGCTATCTAGGTGCGCACAGCGTCCCCCGGTCCCCTCCTCCTCTCCCTCCCTCTTGTCCGGAACTTTACCTCACCAGTCTGAATCAGCCACCCTGTCCGTAACAAGTCCGGACCTGTTACTAGGGGCTTCGTCCGGATAAATTCCGGAACACATTATCCGGATGTTTGTATTCAGACAGAAAGGTCTTACGGACAGATTCCGGAACATTTCCGTTTTTCATGGCCTGTCTGAAGGGGGCTTTGGAAATCTGCCCTGCAGGCCATTTTTGCCCAGTCTCTTTCTTATGGTGGAGTCGTGAACACTGACCTTAATTGAGGCAAGTGAGGCCTGCAGTTCTTTAGAAGTTGTCCTAGGGTCTTTTGTGACCTCTCAGATGAGTTGTGTTTGAATGTGTGAATGTAGGTCTCAGAAGGTTTTTGTCTTAGAGAGAAAAACGCGTTCTGGGTGAAAGAATTTGGTTTGCAGTTGAGCTAAGTTATTTCTTAATAAACAGGCATCCAGACGCAATCTGTGTTCTTTCTCACCGTTCACCCTCTGTTCGGATCTGGAGGTCAAGGGAGGACGTTGATCAGCCTCTGGGTACCCGGTCCGGTAGAGGAGACCAGTGGTACTGACTCTCTGGTCCTAGAGTTGCCGCAGGCACACAGGTGGATGGTTTTGCGTCTGAGCAGATTCTGAAGGAATCTCGTAGCGTCAGCTTGTTGCAGATGGCGTTTCTGTTGGAACAATTCAATCGGCGTGACAGAAGAGCTTTAGTAGAGGTTTCAAACGGCCGACTCGATCCTCTAAACTCTCGTGCCACGGAGAGAATTTGGTGAGCTCAAGAACTGAACTTTAACTGAGGAGTTAGGTTTTAAGAGACTGCCAGTAATCTTATTCTAACGAATTAGATTTTGACATGTAGATTGAACATACCTCGGAACACGCCCTCCCAAGATAGAACGCTCTGGTGTTAAATAAAGTACTTTGATTAAGTAAAGCTTCTTCTTCTCCTTCGGACTCTTCTCCTGGAATGTAAACAGTCTGAGGAACACCCGACCTTGGTTTTTCTACACGGGTGTTATTGTGCACAGGGGGCAGCTGTGTGGAGTTGAAAACAATGAACTTCATAACCTTACATAGGGAAGCTAAGACAGGAGAGATACGATCTCTTTCTTTAATTCTCATCAAAACTTTAACTTCAGCATTTTGGACAAGCTGAAGATTTAAATCTACTCATGTGGACTTCCTGATAGTAATCAGTTACAGTAGTCAAGTCTTGATGTAATAAATGCATGAACTAGTTTTTCAGCATCACTTCTGGAAAGGATGCATCTAATCTTAGCAATATTCCAAAGGTGGAAAACGGAAATCCTACAAACCTGTTTAACGTGGGATTTGAATGACATGTCCTGGTCAAAGATAACACCAAGGTTCCTTACTTTGTTCTCGGAGACTAATTTAATGCCATTCAGGTCAGGTGATTCACTAAGCAATTTCCTTTTCTGAATCTTGGTCCAAAGATGAGAACTTAAGTCTTGATTTAAAAACAGAAAGATTGGTCATCCATTTCTTTTATGTCTTCAAGACAAGCCTGTAATCTACCTAACCGATTATGTTAATCAGAGTTAATGGATAAATATAACTGATTATCATCAGCATAACAGTGGAAGTTTATCCCATGCTGTCTAATGATTGGAAGTATATATCTAGTAACAATAATTTGTCCAAGCACTGAACCCTGTGGCACTCCACCAGTAACCCTGGAGTATGAAGCTTTGTCATGTATTCATTTACAAAATGAAATCTGTCAGACAGGTAGGATTTAAACCAGCCTAACGCTGTTCCTTTGATCCCTACATGTTCAAGACTTTCTAAAAGAACATTGTGATCAACTGTGTCAAAGGCAGCACTGAGATCTAACAAGACTAGAACAGACACAAGATTCTTATCTGAGGCCGTGAGAATATCATTTGTAACTTCAGTTCAATTCAAAAATACTTAATTAATCCCAGAGGGAAATTGATTGCTGTAGTAGCTCAGAATAATAATAATCAAGTCGTCAAAGAGTTATTGTATATTACAATGGCTGTTG